TTAAACTGTCCGGGAAGAATTTGCACTAAATCAAGACACAATTATGTACAGAACAAGTTATACAGATTACATAAGAACAATAAATTAAAAGTATGGGTCGGAGTAGTTGACTACTTAAAGTAACTATGAAGCAAGCTGTGTTAAAACAATGAATAAATGTGTGATTACCTACTGTCGTATGTATCCGTTCCTTTGTCAAATTTGAAGGTTGGGGGAAATGATATAGTGCCTTCATTAAAATCATGAAATAACAATTTATCGTTTTTCATATTAAGAAGCTAAAATACAGATATATAGTATATTAGTTTACTTGATCATGTTGTAGAAGCTCGCTAAAACGCTTTTCTCTGACCATTAACTCCACTTCAGACTTTTGGAGGTGATCAATACGAAAATTTAAATCACCCATCCAGAATACATAACTACAAGACTTTATCAAAAACGAGACATAACTCACTCATGATCAATAATGACATTGACATCTTCATCCCTAAAACTCTGATGATCTATAATATCGATATAATCCTGTGATATAAACAAAAAAGGAAACTACTCACATTTAAACGATCTTGCTTGTTTTCCCTATGTGCAGTAAAATGACACGAAAGAAATATCATGTTAATCCCGCAAAGTTCAAACCTCGCACTAACACCGCCCTTATTTCCCTAAACATTTTAAATATGAGTAGGCATCTAACAAACCATGACACCCGCATATCCTGAGGCCGTTACTTCGGATTCTATATTTGTGACTGCAGGCAAAAGGTTTCGCTTTAGAAATGAGAAAATCCAAATGGCCCAACAGTTACGTGACTTGATCTATTTAAATGAATTTAAAGGTTGACGAACATTAACACAATGATTACCAGCACATAACCATGGGGATACAAGTGCTCCAGGAGCTTTTGTCTCCATGCGTCATCTCCACAAACTTCTTGAAGTCTATGAAGGAAATTATAACTTGACAGCGAACTTACGCAACGCTTATTACATCGGGTGATGGTTTTGAGTTAACACCAAGAAGGGAAGAGAGGTCTTCGCTTCCTGGTTTTTCGTCACCGACATTCCACGTGCAACAATGGACACTACATAAGTACAAAAATAGTTAACGATTAACAACAAACATCAGTGACGGCATTTCACAAAGCCATATTAAACGCTGGTAAAGGTCATTTAAACGGCCTATAGTACAAACCGAACAAACAAAGCAATCATCAGAAGCAGAGTTTAAGGTTAGAATTCTAAAGGCCAATCCATTCAATTGTGGCGAAATGATGCGTTTATTTCTTCCATGTGGACTGATGCTTACTAGTTTAGGTGTTTCAGAAACTTTTGAGGTATTTGGTGTTTCACCTTCAGTCTGAGACGGACAGGAGGCTGAGTGGTCTATGTTGGTCCTAACAGCGAAGGTTTACTGGTCGATCCGACTTTGCTTTAAATGTATATACAGAGCAAATTTCAATCGCACAGTGAAGTAAAGAGTTCCACCTAGCAAATATTCGATGGAAAAGTAGTTTGTCAGGTGTTACTCATGTAGCTGTAAATAATTCCCCAAAATCAATAGCTCATTAAGTGTTCGACATTGGATGCTGACCACGTTGTTTAGGTGGACTTGTTTAACTGAAGGCTTTCGGTCATGCATCCGTACCAGATCACGTTTCGACTCGGCGTGGGACACAGCTGCTACGTCTCAATAGCTAGCTAAGAACAAACGCCTATAGATATATTGGTAACGTATCAAATATATCTTTCCTACCTTTTCTCGTCTGACTTCTGATTTATATTTGGCGTAAGAGGTTTCGAATATAGAAGGTGCTACTGACCGCTAGTTGTATGGTCACGCAGTTTGTTCTTGATTAGTAAACTCCTTTTAAATGCCACCATGTATAAGGGATAAGGACGTTTGGGCCACATCAGATGCTTAGCTATTACTATGTAGCTTGGAATTGTAATTAAGTCATATTTTATTTGACAAAGCTTAGTTTAGTCAGTTTCTTGTCGTACAGCAGCTTCGTGATCCTAGGAGTCAACTTAGTTTTTGTTATTTGAACTTCCTCAAAACGTTCACTGTCTATTTAGAGCGGAATCCCAATTCTTCTATGTAACACCTGTGTGCACAGAGTAAAAGCTATCTTGACATTTACGTGGCTAAAAGCTTTACGTATTGTTCAGGGATTTCTAAGATCTTTATGAAGAAATGTACGACTGTGTGTAGTGACTCCAAATCTTGACCGACAATGAACTCCATGTCATTGTGCCTATTCAGTAGGTAACCTAATAATATTCATCTTATATATGTCTATATCTTGGTAACCAATATTAATCATTATGCACCTGGAAATATCTATCGGAAACTATTAAATTCTGGGCAATATAGATTATTTCTGAATATCATCCTGAAACTCTAAACTATTTCCCTCATTTTTCGTCACTCTCTCTCTCTCTCTTGATGCCTCCAGCACATAGCAAAGCCGATTATCATAGGATGCAATAAAGGATATTTAAATGTAAGCCAAATTTTACTTTTCTCATAAGTTCACTGAGGCTCCCTACCATGCACTTTTATCCCTAAAACAGCTTTTGGTCAACTCATGTTCAATTCCGAAGTCATTTACATAAATAAATAACTTACCTGAAAACCTCTATCACTTAAATAACAACTGGTGCGGTATACACATTGCTGGGGCAGCGTGGTAATATTTGGACTTTATCGCCGTCATCCTCTAATGGCAATGGAGTGCCACCATCTCAAAGTAACGATGAGGTCTCCCACCCCTCTTTTCTCCTTCGGTGTCTGGTATTCTACAGACCCCTAAACGACCTATTACTCACAACATTCTATACTTTGATAAAGACAAGGCACAAATATTCCCGGCCTCCAATATAGACACTTTGTTATATTAGGTTGTCAGTACCCGTTATTTGCATTGAATGTCTATCGCCCTGTTCTTAGTACGGCAGCCCCGAATCTATGTTTAACGATTCAGAAGTGTCAGGAATACCATATGGTAGTAAAAGGTTAATGAATCTGAGTTTATCTGTGGGACAAAAATATTAGATCATTAAGTATAAAGTTTATCATCGGACTGCAGCATTTCAATTTCACCCTTCTGTGTAAATGTCTCATTGGCAGGTACGGCTTGAAAATTGTTTAATGACTATGGTAGCAAAGTAGTAGGATCGGTACGTTGGGCTGGCACATGCTTGTTTATGACAACTGCTTGATCACTCTCACCTAGGGATGGCTGTGGTAATTAGGAGTATTTTAATTCTAGTATGAACCAGGAATCCCAGAAATAACGCAATTTAACCAAAAAGTATTAGATGAACACGGACGAATGTACTGAATTTGGAATTAAAAATCGGGCAGTCATCAACTACAAAGGAATTATTGGTTCATATAAACACCACAGTGGCATATAATTGAGGTTCGTAACATCATCCTCATAATAAGTCAACATAAGATCTAGTAGGGACGACTCTGGGTCTAGTTGTTTGCTTCACATTTCTCACTAGGGCCCATATGATAGTCGCATCAACTGGTTCCTGTTCGAATGGATTTTCTGACATTTCAGTGCTCTGATTTTTACATTCCACCGTGGGTGCATTAAAGTCTCCTGAAATTAAACATCAACCACTCTGTAACCAGGTAGTGGGACCGCCTAGAAAGACTTCATTCACTCCACAGCTTGGACTGCGGAAGACCAAACAAATCATCAACCCTTATATTTTGTATTTCAAGCGGTAACTAACTACTTCATACATCCCACGTTTATGAGATGTGTTATTAACAACGGTAATTGGGATAGTATTTCGAATGAACACAGCTACTCTTCAACCTTTACGCTTCTGGTCCCTGTTGTCCCTTAATAATGTAAAACATAGAAAATCAAGTTTCCTACTGTCTACAGACAGCTTCAGCCAAGTTTTATGACTGTGACGAAATCTGGCTTGGTGGAGTCAATCTGAATGCCTAGCTTCGAACACTTGTTGAACAAGCTACTGGAATTTGTGTAACAGATCCAGAGCTCATTTAGATTACTTCATACTGAACCCGGAGTGGCTTCAAAATCAACCTCTAAGGAGGCCTCAGCACCCAAAAATTACAATTTTTAGGTCCTTTGCCGTAGCGCCTAACCTTTGTTTTAGTTCCTTTTCAGCTTCTCGTCTGTTCATAGTGTTCGCGGGCAGCAAGACTTTACGGACAAAATTCCTGACCTTTTTAGTTTACGTCTATTTCTTATTATTAAGTCTATTTCATTGGAAGATCTTAATGTTACTTTTAGTAGCCTGGTTTGGTTCTGTTTCAATTTCATTTGGCTACCTTGTCCATAAACCTTTAGGAAGATGACTCCGGAGATATACTGAGGCAGTGGCTACTTAATTAGTTGTTTTGTCAAATCAATGTCCTATTCTCAACGAGCTTTAGATTCCGAGCTTTCACTCTCCTTGACCCCACAGAAGGTAACTGACCCTTCGTTATGATCAGCTAAACTACTTTGGGGAGGACTGGCTTTTTCATAGTAACATAATGTAGTTTCTTATTCTAGATCTGTACCTACTCATCAAAGTTCATTGAAGCAGCAATCACAGCCGCGTCACACATGCTTCGAAATTCTGACTGTCGATGAATTGGGTGATCGGGTTTTTCTTTCTCCTGTAAGGAACAGACCTAGTCTTACGATCAGCTTTTCTAGATGTTTCCTGCTGGCTACCGTTTCGAGGACACGGAAAGTCTGTTCACTTCACTGAGAGGCACATAAATTGAAACCTCTAAATGGGAGAAGGACAGGGCCGATGTGATAACGGTGTCCGTAACTATTTTCATTCTAACAGACGAATGCACCTTATCACAAAACCATACTTCAGAAGACATCACTGGAAGTCAGAAATGCGGTGGAAAAAACCTGGAAGACAAGCGCAGACTACTTTGCGAAAATTCCTTTCAAAATATGTTACCACTTGGTGTCTAAAATTTTTTCATTTGATTGAGTTAACCTATTTCAATATCCAACCTTGACGGATATTTGAAATTTTGGAGAATGAGTCTTTGGGTTGACAAGTATACTCCTGCTTCATTGGGGAAGTTAGATTACCACAAAAAACAAGCTAAAAATTTGAAAAAATTAGTAAGTGGTGGTTGGTTTAGTGAAATAAATCAAAATTTTAGGTTGATAGCAGCAACTTTCCCCACTTGCTAGTGTATGGACCTTCTGGTGCAGGGAAACGAACTAGAATCATGTGTATTCTTCGTGAGCTGTACGGATCAGGTGTTGATCGACTAAGAATGGAACACCATACTTTCACAACCCCTTCAAACAAGAAAGTCAACTTATCCACAGTTTCGAGTAACTTTCATTTGGAAGTAAATCCTAGGTACATTTATGTAAAGACCCTACTACTTTTAATTTTTGGTGAGATGAGATTTTAAGGAGCTGCACCTTTGCTATTTCAGAGTGCTCTCTAGTTTGCCATGACGTTGTTTTATCTGCACACAAACACTCTTTAGTCACTCCCTAGAACTACTCTCTCATATTTTATTTCGAACGACGGGTGAATTTCATCTGAACTTTTCTTATCACAGACTCTTGCCTACAGTCCAATTAAATCATTATCTGCCGGAATAAGTCATTAGTGAATTTCGTTCGCACTCACGATATCGTGACTCATATTAGTCATCAATATCTAGTTTCACAGTTTCGACATCGAAGAGTCATGTCACTTGAAGTCTCTAATGTTTGGCTGCCATAATCACGCGGACTCTCATGGTTTAAAATCGTTTTTAATGGTCTACTATCTACTATTTGTTGTTTCTGAGTCTCAATTTCTGTTGCACAAATTTATACTTTTTTGAATTGTGTTTTCGATCCTAATATGTTTTATTGCTACTAATGCTATTGCTACTCCTACTACTCTGGGGTTCGCCATGAGAAATTTATCTCAATGCGCTACTGGGAGTGCAAATGTAAAAAAGAGACCAAATAAATTCGGGTATATATATATATATAAGATGTAGATTAAATTTGGAGCTGAAGAATAAGTTCGTCCACACTGATGCAGTCAATTTTGAGCTTTTTCACTCCAAAGTCGATGCCCCTGGATATAAAATTGTCAGCTAAGTCAGAAAGTTGTTTTAGAAGTATTATTGTGTATAATAAGAGGAAATCGATCAACTCAGATAGATATCACCCGTTATATTCACTTTAGACAATAGTTCTTCGTAAGGCATGACTCAACCAAGAACATCGGACGGAATTTTATTCAGTAGATAAATGTACATACTTAGCACTTCCTAGTGAAAAGTAACTCAAACATCGGATCTAAATACCATTCTCAGACAATACATTCAATGTCAGACAGCAATATACATACTTTTTTTTCAAGGGATGATGAAAATTATCTGTGAGATGCACTTGGAAGATTATGGTTTGGAGTTCTAAAGACTCGGAAATTCGACTTCGAAATTGAGGTTATAACTATGTGTAGTTCGTTGCAAGCTGTTTTGTGACTTTCTAGTCTTGTTTTGTATGATAGTAAGTTGAACTGCTGAACATCTGTGCCAGTCTGTCAACTACTATAGTAGGTGATGACTAGTTGACTGGCCATAAAAGGTTTTGAAAATGTACGTAAACAGTTGTCCTGAAACCTTACCTTGTTACAAAAATAAAGTATTCCTTTTTAAGAGTGTGAAGCACCAACCTATTCGATCATAGGTGTCTTCGAAGCATTGCTCGAATATCCTGGGACCACCGGGTAAGTAATGCAGTTGTTAGGAAACGTGTACTAGGTAATGATGGCAAATCGTTTGATGAAGTAGTGAAACTTCATCAGTTGAGATGGCTAGGACACGTGTTACGCATGCCCAACCACCGACGTGCGATGTCTTATGATGTAGGAGTAGGTTGGAAGAAAGCTAGGGGCGGCCAGACCAAAACGTGGCACAAATCCATGAAGTCGATGACAAGTGGACTGAGCCATGTTGGTAGGTGTAGACTACCTGGTTGGGATGCGCGAGATGATAGCAACCGATGGTTAGAGACCTTGAATGACATGGCTCAAAATCGTTTGAAATGGCGAAGGTGCATCCACTCTTTGTGTTCTACCAAATTCTAACCCGAATTCTTCATGTCCCTATCGTTTTTCTCTTTCCCAATTTATTTCAGTGTATTATACTCCTTCAATAACATCTTCAAACCTTAATCTTTCACATAACGCTTATACTCTTACCACTTCTACTACTATGGGATTTGAATCGACAACTGAATCTCTGTGCTAATGTGGTATGACAACTCGAACTGATATACGTACGTACGAAGTTCTACGTTGTGACTGATTGACTCAGGCTTTGTATTCAATACTATTCTTAACAGTTGTTTGTTTTTTCGGTAAAACGAGTACTAATATTTTATAAATGCTTAGGAATCATCACGGTGAACTACAGAACGAAACAAAGCGGGAATATTTTTCGGTCAAATTATACCATTTCTTTTTTTTGTCGTTATTATCATTACGCGATATTTATTCTATATCTTCACGACCGTCTATATTCAGTTTGATGGATCTGTTGACGCTTCTTTCAACAGTAACCTATTTTGATAGGTAGAAAATAACGTACCAATTATCTAAGTAGTCTTATGAAATCACCGTAAATTTACCAGTCCTTGGCAGTTAGTTCCAGAGAATTGAAATTCATAAGTTGACTTAAAAATCATATGTCCTCAGATCCTCAACCTGTTAATCCAGCGATTTTAGTCACATTTCATTTATTTTTGTAATTGCTCTCGATAATATCAGTATGTCGTTTACTTTTATTCTAGTGATGTTGGGATTTACGACCGAATTGTCATTCAAGAGTTGATCAAAAGCATGGCATCAACAGCACAGCTTGACAGTGGGCAACAGAAAGATTTCAAAGTAGTAGTTCTGCATGAAGCAGACCATTTAACACGTGATGCACAACATGCTTTACGTAGAACTATGGAAAAGTACATATCCACTTGCCGTCTTATATTGTCAGCGGAATCTACTAGTAAGGTTAGTTCTGTTCTGTAGTTGTGATAGTATGCTCTCTGTATTATATTCTTCGATTTCCAAATCGTTGTAAATAGGACTCTATTTTAAAAGTAGAGTGATTGTTATATCGTATGCGCCCGTAATTTGTATGAACGTGCGATTAGAGAGGAGTTAATTTATTGATCGGACGCAAATGATACTTGAAATCGTACGAGCAGTCTTGGGTGCTATTCGGTCCTTCCTATCTGTCTAGCCCAGCCAGTTGAGTCCAAAACACAAATAACAGCCTCAGCAATATGAATCATTATTTACAAACATACTGAGTTTTTATACAAAGCAAAGTAATCAATAAACTGATTATAACTCAAGAATCGTATGATCATAAATCAAAGATCAAAATAATAGAAAACACGAATATGAATAATTTAGTTACGTAACAACTGTACAATAAGAAATAGTCATAATACATTGGTCCATAAATAGTCCTTAGAGTTATCATTCATAATTCACCAGGGGATATAACACCTCCCCTTTTTGAGAAATCCGGAGTTGACATCCGGATTTTAAATTTCTCGAATTCACCCTCCCCCACGAAAGATTGTTGGATCCTCATGTACCCAAGTTACCATTATTGTGACATTATTTAAAACATATTCGTCGTATTTAACAGAAAATCCACCAGAACTGATTATATCGTGAGGATCGACGACATTCGATTTGAGGTCACCGGCGTCTGATTCTTTTGAAACACTTTCCTTGAATTTACTCGGAACCTCATTAGTAGATAATGAATCGTTAGGATAATCAGTATCTATGAAATTTGTATTGGATTCTTGATTATCATTTAATGCATCCGATATTTTTCTCCCATTTTTATAAGAGATTTGAACTGGAACATATGAATCAGTAAAATAATCGGGATCTGGCAGAACAATTAGATAATTTTGATCATTAGATTCATTAGAAAAATTTTCCGTATCATGAATAATTTTATTTGGCGCCTCTGCATTCAATATACTGCTCGATTTGCTTCCCATTTCTTCGTGGGCGGGTACTGCAGCAATTTCATGAGCATTTGACATGGCATCATGTTGCTGAGAGCTGGGAGCATCACTGTTCGGACCTGCTAATTCAGGGATAGTGGTGTTTGAATCCACTACCGGGCACGTTTCTGAAACAGGCAGCACCGGACTACTGGGCTGATCATGTAGGACTGTTACTGCTGCATCTAAATTACTGTTTTTCGTGGATTCATAGAGGCTTTCCTCTGCATATTCATTTGTTCTGTAATCGACTTCCAGTTCTATACGCAATTTAGAAATCAATGCGTCAACTTCCGTTGCACCCCCAAAGCATGGGTGATTCAGCAGCGTCGCGTGTAACTTATCAATGAAATCCAATTGACTCTTTTTAAAACGCTGCTCTTGTCTCTGAATTAGCAACTGAAATTGATCGGAAGTTAAAGCCATTTTTTTTTTACCTCGTCGTCAGTTGTTATATCGTATGGACTCGTAATATATATGAACGTGCGATTAGAGAGGAGTTAATTTATTGATCGGACGCAAATGATACTTGAAATCGTACGAGCAGTCTTGGGTGCTATTCGGTCCTTCCTATCTGTCTAGCCCAGCCAGTTGAGTCCAAAACACAAATAACAGCCTCAGCAATATGAATCATTATTTACAAACATACTGAGTTTTTATACAAAGCAAAGTAATCAATAAACTGATTATAACTCAAGAATCGTATGATCATAAATCAAAGATCAAAATAATAGAAAACACGAATATGAATAATTTAGTTACGTAACAACTGTACAATAAGAAATAGTCATAATACATTGGTCCATAAATAGTCCTTAGAGTTATCATTCATAATTCACCAGGGGATATAACACCTCCCCTTTTTGAGAAATCCGGAGTTGACATCCGGATTTTAAATTTCTCGAATTCACCCTCCCCCACGAAAGATTGTTGGATCCTCATGTACCCAAGTTACCATTATTGTGACATTATTTAAAACATATTCGTCGTATTTAACAGAAAATCCACCAGAACTGATTATATCGTGAGGATCGACGACATTCGATTTGAGGTCACCGGCGTCTGATTCTTTTGAAACACTTTCCTTGAATTTACTCGGAACCTCATTAGTAGATAATGAATCGTTAGGATAATCAGTATCTATGAAATTTGTATTGGATTCTTGATTATCATTTAATGCATCCGATATTTTTCTCCCATTTTTATAAGAGATTTGAACTGGAACATATGAATCAGTAAAATAATCGGGATCTGGCAGAACAATTAGATAATTTTGATCATTAGATTCATTAGAAAAATTTTCCGTATCATGAATAATTTTATTTGGCGCCTCTGCATTCAATATACTGCTCGATTTGCTTCCCATTTCTTCGTGGGCGGGTACTGCAGCAATTTCATGAGCATTTGACATGGCATCATGTTGCTGAGAGCTGGGAGCATCACTGTTCGGACCTGCTAATTCAGGGATAGTGGTGTTTGAATCCACTACCGGGCACGTTTCTGAAACAGGCAGCACCGGACTACTGGGCTGATCATGTAGGACTGTTACTGCTGCATCTAAATTACTGTTTTTCGCGGATTCATAGAGGCTTTCCTCTGCATATTCATTTGTTCTGTAATCGACTTCCAGTTCTATACGCAATTTAGAAATCAATGCGTCAACTTCCGTTGCACCCCCAAAGCATGGGTGATTCAGCAGCGTCGCGTGTAACTTATCAATGAAATCCAATTGACTCTTTTTAAAACGCTGCTCTTGTCTCTGAATTAGCAACTGAAATTGATCGGAAGTTAAAGCCATTTTTTTTTTACCTCGTCGTCAGTTGTTATATCGTATGGACTCGTAATATATATGAACGTGCGATTAGAGAGGAGTTAATTTATTGATCGGACGCAAATGATACTTGAAATCGTACGAGCAGTCTTGGGTGCTATTCGGTCCTTCCTATCTGTCTAGCCCAGCCAGTTGAGTCCAAAACACAAATAACAGCCTCAGCAATATGAATCATTATTTACAAACATACTGAGTTTTTATACAAAGCAAAGTAATCAATAAACTGATTATAACTCAAGAATCGTATGATCATAAATCAAAGATCAAAATAATAGAAAACACGAATATGAATAATTTAGTTACGTAACAACTGTACAATAAGAAATAGTCATAATACATTGGTCCATAAATAGTCCTTAGAGTTATCATTCATAATTCACCAGGGGATATAACAGTGATCAACAAAAGTTAGGCGAATAAGACCATTACATTAAATTCGATTTTTTATGGTATAATACAGAGTTAATGATGTTGCGTTGTTGAAGTCGGCTTTATATCATGGTGCTTGCTTGTTCAGTGATATGCTCCAAGTTGATAATTTCTTAGTTAGCTTGAGTAAACAAGACAAAATACCAAAATTCTCCGATTACTAATGTAAAATAAATGTGTTGTATCTACAGTTTAAATGGCTTGTAAGCGGTTTTTCCTTGGCATTCAAAAATGATAACTAGATCAGTACTATTTACACTTAGTTATGGATAGTAGCCAATTCCGCTGTAGTTTTACTGTTTATTTAAAATTGCTTAGTATTTAGATGTGTTTATGTTTAGACAATCTACCTAATAAGAGTGAAAACTGACAAAGTATCTTTACATAAGGTGTTGTGTTTTGTAGATGAACCTATTACTTGAACTAGTGGCATATTTATTGTGTGATAGTGTTAATTCTCCGTTTATTTACTGTAATAAAGAGGTCAGGAGTAGCGCTAATCCATTTTGCTGGCGCTCATGGTATACTTTAACTTTTACTGTAGAATTTATTAGTTCATAGTTTCGTACATAGAAAATTAATCCTATATGTAATTAATAAAGCCAAATGAGTAGTGTTTTTCGTTGCTGCTTGCTTCATAGTGTCCATTATGTGCCAACTGTGTTTGTATAGTATATTCTTTACTAAGCAACTTATCATTTGGTTATTTATTTTGCAGATCATTTCCGCTACTCGTTCAAGATGTCTACCAATAAGAGTTTCTGCCCCATCTATCGATGAAATTGTTGAAATATTGAGAAATACAGCCCGCCGAGAAGGTCATTCAATGCCGGTTGAACTAGCTAAACGTATCGCGTTAGCATCCGAACGGAACCTACGTAGAGCTCTTTTATATGCTGAGGTAGCTAAGTGGCAGCATTGCCCCATGCTGCCAGACCAGAGTGTGCAGTTACCTGACTGGCAAGTCTTTCTTACCGAGACAGCATCAGCCATTTTGGCGGAACAAAGTCCGAAAAAGTAAGTGTCGTATATATATGTATATTCAAATCAAGTTTATGTCGCTGTTGGTCGCTGGCAACACACTGCCACATCATTAATCCGTTCTCTTCAGATCTTGATTTATTCTTGACTGTATTTCAAACTACTGATTTATGTATTTCATATTATCCAATCAATGGAGTCGCATCGTATTAGTGCCATTTCATAAATTGATTGGATTTCCACTTCGTTCAACGATTATAAGCACTATCAAGCTGTTTTGCTTTGAAACCTTCCTATGTATGAATTATCAACACCACAGAAGACTGGGTTGTACGATGGATTTACTTACTAAACAATATTTCTTATTAGATGTCAGCATGTCGGTAAAACTTATAAATGTGTGTATTGTATTTCCATTAAATTCACTCAGCATCACTCTTAATCGAGTATTTAGTTATGATTACAAGAGAGTCACAAGAGAATAATTTCCTCCTCTTAAATAATTACATGCTGATGCAACTGAAAACAAACTATAATTTTTTAACCTACAAAAGTTTCCTCTGAAACGAATCATTTTGATGTTGAAGTACTCATTCGTAAGCCAAGTTCCACTGGGGACTTGTTAAACAGAGGTCAAACAATTGGAATTGTCAGAAGTCCCTGAGTCATGAAAATTTTTCTCCAAACTTCTTTAAACTCTCATCCTTTTCGATTTATTGCAGTGAACTCCGAGCTCAATAGTGTATGTGTCTAAAATATAAAATTTTAAAAAGTTCGATGAAGATACATATTAGGTTTTAGAATAGGTCCACCCCTAGCTTACTCACTTTCCGCAATCATTTGGAGTTGTGCCCCCAAATTCTCTGGTACGGCTGAGGGTGGGGAGAGTCAGTCCCTCCTCTCCGAATGCTCTCACATATCCATGCCAGTCAGTCAGTCACAACGTAGAACTTCGTACGTACGTATATCAGTTCGAGTTGCCATACCACATTAGCACAGAGATTCAGTTGTCGATTCAAATCCCATAGTAGTAGAAGTGGTAAGAGTATAAGCGTTATGTGAAAGATTAAGGTTTGAAGATGTTATTGAAGGAGTATAATACACTGAAATAAATTGGGAAAGAGAAAAACGATAGGGACATGAAGAATTCGGGTTAGAATTTGGTAGAACACAAAGAGTGGATGCACCTTCGCCATTTCAAACGATTTTGAGCCATGTCATTCAAGGTCTCTAACCATCGGACTTGACGTCATTCGCATAGGTGAAATCCCATCATTTACTAGTGTATATTACTTTATAAACTAGAGTTCTTCGCTGGGGTTGTCAGTGGTATAGTTACTCAGTGGATATAAAAACTCTAAGTAAAGCATTATTACAGTGTACAATATATTTTACAACCGATGATCCTAAAGGAAGATAATGAAGGCAGTCTCTCTGACTTCGTCTCTATGTACACTAATCACCTCAGCTGCTTCTGCAGAGCGAGTTATTGTCGTGATCCATCTAATAAAACTAGACCTTTCTATTCAAATAAAGCTTATGCAACCACGCTGACCAGTTTGGTCATCATTGTGGCTTCTGCTTTTGTTTAACCTTCTGTTCAATGATATCTAGAATTTTAGAAATTATTTGTTATCCCTCTTGTTGAATTACATTTGTTATTTCGTTTTTAACAACTATGACTAATATTTGTCTATTTTTTTCGTACAGAACTATCATTAGTATTCAACTTCTTAGTGAGAATTCGTAACTGTTTCACTAGTTTATTTTTAAAACAATTCATTTATTAATACATTTGAATAGTACAGCAAACTTATTCATCTTTCATCTTCAATGAATTCTTTAGTTCGTTCTTAATTATTTTCATAGATACTTCTGAATTTCTAACACTGTTAACCAACTCACCATCGCTTGATCAGTTCTAATGGATTAGTGTAGAGCTGTGAAGAAAAGCTAATTGAGAAAGACATTTCTTTGTTCCGTCTATTGTTTTTTAGTGTTTAGACGGTAGTTTTCATCATATTGAAATCGTACTACATAGTGATTAGATTACTATTTTCTGTATCATATATTAATGGCTGAACTTTCTCAAATTTTTTTCTCTACAGAATATTAGAAGTCCGCAATCGTCTTTATGAATTGTTATGTCACTGTATTCCGCCCAACATTATAATGAGAGTAAGTTTTTATTAAGATAAAATAATTTATTCTTGAATTTTTTTATGAAATGAAACTTGCTTATGATCCAAATATTTAAAAGTTTACCAAAACTAAATATGACTTATTTTTGAAAGGGTTCTGGGACAAATCTTAAAATGCAAACATGACAATTTGATCCTACTATATCCACTATTGAGAAAAAAATGAAGTCAACGTCAAACTGGACATAACATCAGCTTATTTAAGATTATCTGTATGGAAACTTTCAACTACTGATGTGTTTATGAGAATAGATATTATTGTGGATCTATTGGAGTCGGGAAATACCACAACGCTAAATTACCAGTAGCATTAGTGGCTACTGACATTTATTTAAGTAGTAAATTTTCAAAAGTAAACTTTATATGTTGTTTTTGTCAAAATGAATTTATACTGTTTGGGACTTTATTGTCCAGTGTGAAGTGTTGTTTGAAGGGTGTTATTTTAAAACATCGTCATAATTAGATATGACGGAACTGACTAAAGATTATATATACAGAGTTTATGGACTTGAGTAGTGGCATTATAAAGTAGTAAATCTGTTAATGGAGTATCATTAACAATAGAGCCATTATATGTTCACTATCTATGTAAAGAGTAAACTTAACCAGAACTTTTACATCACTCGAATTATAAGAGTTTTCAGTTACTGATTTTCACTGTTGCACAAGCTTCTATATAAAATATCTATTGTTCTGTTCACAAATAACTTCAATAATTAAAACCTTTATGAATTTGTTTTATATAACGGTCTGATTATTTTCTGTTCTAATAATGTCTTATCAATGAAGTAAAAGTTTACAATCTACCTTTTCAAATCACATTGCTTATGTGAGCTGTATTGACAATATTTAGTTTCATAAACGGGAGTGAACTGGGTTTCGAACCTACGATCACTTATTTGTTGAAATCTGAGCATTTTAAACAAACCACCGCTACAAAATTAATTTTTGTATTTTCATACAATATTTCCTTACAATCACATATACGTTGTTTACTCATTTGACATGACAAAAATGAGCAATTTTTTTCCGGCATAACTGTTCTCAGTTTTGATTACTGAAATGTTTCATCCAATTAAAGTCAGTATTTTTAGACATTTTTATCAAACAGTTGAAGTTTTCTGATATTTTATCTGAGACTTAAACCTAAACTCCTCTATCTTTTTAGCTAAACTTCGATAAATTTCATATGAGATTAACATTCATGTTGCACATGTACATACTCAATATACCAAAGGTTATACGTGAATGGAGCTATTCGTCTCAGTTTATTATTTTGACAAACTTTTATTATACTTCATTTCTGTAGTCGTTTGTTTAACCGTGCAATGAGCTGTTGATAACACTTTTTACATGAAATCAACTATGCTAAAAAAAAATACGTTTTGAGATAGACACAGTAATTATGGACCCGGAGTTGATTGATTGATTTGAATGGTCAAAATTGTTATCCATTAATTGATTTTCTTAGAGATATTTTCGTACGAATTGCTTATTTAAGCTATTTTGTTAAATAAGTGGGTTATTTCATTGTATTATATTCATATTTCAATTCATGTGTGTATCGGTGAGTAATAAGGTAGGTATATCAGTCAATGAGTTGATAATTTTAGTTTTCTGTGTCTCGTTAAGTCAGTATAATTAAAATCCTTTATGTATATTAATCTTTAAACAATATTGTATTTTTTCCCAATAAAATAGGTTTTCAGTTAAATATTATGGTCATTTTACCTATGCTTGTTTATATGTTAGTAAATTTTTTATCTGATTAGATCAAAAGTATTTGGGAGTGAGAAGTATGCTAAATAAAATAATGGAGATTTTGATAACACTACTGAATATATTAGGAATAAAAATGTTATATTGGAGTGATTTGAGCATTCAACTTCCAACTATCCAATCCTTAGTTCGAAACAAGCTTAGTCTATGTTGGTTTCAGCAACTGAATAGTACTCTTACTCAAGACAGATAGGTTAAAACAATACACAATGGTAATCTAATTTTTTAAAGTTAACTTCGTATGTTCACTCCTACAAGAAGAAGGTAATTCATATATTTTTATTCCCTTTTTTTGTTAGGGTCTAGTTGACAATTTATTAAATTCATGTGATCGTAATTTAAAACTGGAATTGGTCCAATTGGGTGCAGAATATGAGCATCGATTGAATTTAGGTCAGAAACCAATTTTTCATTTGGAAGCGTTTGTAATTGCATTTATGGCTATTTACAAACGATATATAGAAGATGCTCTAGGTTCTGGGATGGAATGGTAACATTAACATAAAACAAATATTCAATTCTCAAGATGTATTGTGTATATTTATTACGAGTTATCTTGATAAATAAAAGTTTCTTTTGTAGATATTGTTTGTTTGAATGACAGGTCAGGTTACTTAACCATGGGTATTCCGGTTTGTACAGTAGAGTTATGGTTTATTCTTTTATTTGGGAATAGAAAGAATAACATGTATTCAGTGGTAGAGGTGAGAACAATTTCTTGTCATAGTTGTTAACTAATAATATGGTGACTAGTAAATTGCATTATGACTATTCTAAATGTTATCAACATATTAAGACAACGTTATCTGCAAAATTTCGTCGATGATGCAGTTAAAAGGTTTTGTTAGTTCAGGTGAACATAGTCCTGTTTCTCGTTTATGATAATCCAGTGCGAAGGTTGTATTGCTGTCAATGTAGATAGCGTGCTTCCGAACAAAGATTTTAAGATAATGTTAAGAAATGTTTGTCGAGTTGTATATCTAAAGAAAGAATATTTTATGATACAGTCTTATTTAATAGACTGAAGTTAGTCTTTATATTGAAAGAGATAATCCTTGACCTGAAGTATTTATGATGTATTTATTCATTGGTTGTGGTCAAGTGTTGTATGTGTAATTATTTTCATCTTACAAAGTATATTTTTCAGGCCTCTACTATTGATGTTAGTGCAACTTCCTTGACTATGAGAAAGTGTTTGACAGCGTGGATAGAAGAACCTTATGGAACCTTCGACACTCTGGTATATCTCAGAACATTGTCAACATCATACGGAATTCTTATGATGGACCACACTGCAAGTTCTTGAATGTAAGGCAGCAATACAGATACATTCCAAGTGTCACATAGGTCTGATTACTCTCATCCTTTCTCTTTAATAAAGTGGTTAACTAGATTATAAAGACCTCCACATCTCAAGAGAAGCATGGAATACAATGGACAGCGTGGTTGAGGCTACACGATATTGACTTCGCAGATGACCTAACTCTTCTATCCCATAAACACCATCAAATGTAGGTCAAAACAACCAGTGTAGCAGCAGTTTCTACAGCAATAAACATCAACATACACAACGGAAAAACACAGATCCTCAAACTCAACACAGAGAACACCAACGCAATTACACTTGATGGAGAAGTTTTGGTAGAGTTTGAAACTTTCACGTACCTTGATAGCAAGGCGTATCTGGTACAGGTGTGAAGGCGAGGATTGACAAAGCAAGGACAGTATTCCTACAATTGAACAACATCTGGAACTCAAAACAATTGTCAAATAACAAAGTTAGAGTCTTTAATACGAACATCAAGAAAGTTAGTTCTACTGTGCATAGCAGAAACTCGGAAAACTACTACAACCATCATCAAAAATGTACAAATATTTACAATCTATTTTCTGTGCAAGATACTAAATGTCGGTTGGCCAGATACCATCGGCAATTCTTCTATTATCATTTATTCCGTGTCACCTTTACTGGTGGAATTCTTCATATACTTTTGGTTCCTATCTATCAGAAGCTTGGTAATTGTTATCAAAGATAAACAAGTTGTAAGCTACTCGTCAAGAATTTTATGGTTTGCTTTGACAGAGGGCTGGTAATTTATAATTTCTTGTCATTCAATCAACAAGTTTCAAATGTCAGTGATTGATATTGGTCATCGGTGTTCAAGCTTAACACACGTATACATTTTACCTCCCAGCTCGTGATTCACTGTAAATAGCTTTGAGTTTATAATTATTTATCAAACCAATAACTTTAGTCGTTGAATTTTAAGATTAAATTTATGAGTAGGATTTGGCAAGGAGTTTATAAAATACCCTTATATATAAGAATATAGTTCCGACATTCCAAAAAGCAAAAAAGGGGGATTATGTATAACGATAACAATAGGAGGTTACATAAATCAGTGAAGTGTTTAAAATAAGACAAAACAAGTTCACAAAACAATAAGTGGTCATTAACAAATAATTATCACGCCATCGAGAAGTTAACCTATTTACCTATCTTCAGTTTACACGTTTGTGTCAAAAGGTATTAATGACAACGAACAATCGCAATAGAGACAAATTCGATAGTAGTTGTATGATTATTGTAAAATCTATATGTAAGTTGAATTCTTGTATGCTGTCATGTGTTTTCTTGCAATAATCTTTCTGTTCGACATAAATGACTAAAATACATGAAAAAGTAAGTAGAAGCCTGTCTTTTTTTCCTTGGTATACTTGAGCTCACCATTTTATGTAAATTAGAAAACTGAACTGGGGGTAAGAGCAAGGAGTGCCTTGTGACTTATTTAACTTGGATTCTTTTAGTGGACAGATCATATTGTCTATTGTGATCAGTTTGTTTAAAAGGATATTTCTTTTGAATGCATCTTTAATATGTTTGCCAGTTTTTAGCGAAACCTTTTTATAAAAAAATTTCCATTTGTATAACATCATTTCATCGAACTTAGGATCTGTCATTCGCGTTTGTGTAATTCATTATAATTATAAAACTTGTCCAGCGTAGGTAAGTCTTGGACTGGTGTTCTTAATTATCAATCACATTTTTGCGTAGCTATCTGAGATATAATTGTCAAGTAATTTTTACTAATGATAAGAAGTTAATGGTCATTCTAGGCTAGGTGAACGATAACTTAATCTCAAGAAATATGACTTTAAAAAGTTTTCGAAAACGTCCTTGAGACTTTTCTACATGTACTTGTTGCAGTGATAAAAAAGTTTACTTCCTACTTTTTCTCAGGGAGGGCATACTGGAGTGAACAAGAAAATGAGTGGGGACAATCGAATGTATTGAGATAATATGTTGGTTGGAGGTGGTCAACAGGAAACCCTGAACCCGGGTTTCGTGCTACTTGTCACTCGTCAGCAAGTTGTACCTGTAATCTTGAGGGAACTAGTGCTCTCTGACGGATTCGAAGGACTTGATACGCATGACATTGATCACCACCCAGTGACCAGTTAATTGTGATTACACCTCAGTCCTACTGGAGGTCGGTCGCAGCCCGAATAGCTCAGTGGTAACGTTTCTGACTGTGAAGCTGAGTGACACGGGATCGGATCCGTCAGGGAGCACCAGTTCCCTCAAGGTTACAGGTACACCTTGCTGACGAGTGCCAAGTAGCACGAAACCCAGGTTCAGGGTTTCCTGTTGACCACCTCCAACCACCATCTTTTCTCAATATGTATAGTGCACGCAGTGTCGAGCCACCTAGACTAGTCGCCACATTGCAACTTAATCGATAGCATCCGATCTGCACTAAGAAGGACTTGACATGTATGACATTGATCACCACCCAGTGATCAATCAATTGTGACAATCGAATGTATTTAAGCATAAATTACAAACTATCTCACTAAAATCTTATAACCATACATTAAACAGTTGATTTGCAAAATAACTATTACTTTTGCAAATATCAGTCCATCTTCTTTGATTTCATTGTTCATTCATTTTCATAATGATTGCGCTTCATTCCTGTTCTTTCCTTATTGATCTTCTGCCAAATTGCATTCTATTTCTGACCATCACCATATACTACTTATGTGTATGTAAGTAGCCCACATCACAATACGACTTGATAGAACTACAAACTTTCATTATCGGAAGTAAAATTGATGTCATATACCCTTGTTAACGTTGTATTATATTTACTTTTGTCATTCACAATCAAATTCTAAAGGTGTAATAACTTGTTCAGTAATTCATTTTTTTTTCACAGTTTCGCTTAATGTCGTTGTTAATAATTACGATATAGAACTTGAAACAAGAAAATCTGATGTATGCACGATGCAGAAAGGAAGGCGAATACTGATAGCAGATAAAGACATTATACAAATAAATAAATACTGATTCCTAATGATCGATCAAATAATATCATGAATAACTGAACTAGTGAAAATACAGTACTTTTAATTAAAACAAAGCAAAACTACATGTTTTACTGAACAAATATCACACTAAAGTAAAATGGAAGGTAAGCTGAACTTATGTCACACTGAATTAGAATGAAAGTTGTGCTGAATTAAGAAGTGATCTTGCGTATTTTCCCCTCGTAACTATTTAAGTATCACATCATTTCAATTCTGTACACCAGGTAACTAGCAGAAAGTAGAAGTGAAATAGTAGATAAACAAGAAAATGAGTAAAAAAAAACTGGAATATACTAAATGAGAAGTTTTTCCTTTATTATTGGTTTTTATTTTTTTGCCACTACTCATCAAACTAAATTTTGTTTACGTGATTAAACACTCGTACAGGATTTTCACCGTAAACCACTCACATATATGCATATATATATATGTACATAGTCACACACACAAATAAATACATATAAGTATATCACAAAAGTTGATTACAATTTCATTACTATGTACATTTCATTCATAGGGATGAACTAATTTCATCCTTTCTATTTCGTTATTACATTTGTACAAATGCATATGTCTTGAAAATATGCGTGTTTCTAAGTCTAAGAAATTCATTAGGGTTTATTTTGATTTTATATTTGTCAATTTGTAGTTATTCTTAACAATATGATTGTTTGCTTGTTCAACACAAATACATAAGTATAAATATACCCAATAATGCATACATACATACATACATACATACATACGCACATTTGTTCTAGTATGATATAACAAACCCAATGAATTCTTTCTTTTCTTTCAAGAAGATTACATATTCAGTAATCAAATAATAACAGAATGCTAGTTTTTTTTTTACAACTTATACTACTTATATACATTTGATTGCACAAGTAAGAGTTTTCTGGTTAAAGAAATACTTATTTCTTTTCGATTTATCATTCTTCATCTTCCTTCTTCTGTTTCGCTTCCATCATGATGATGATGATTAAGGTTAACTGATTTATATACTTTTTCTTACATTATTATTTCATTCCGATTAATTTTACTCTTTAAAAGAGTTTCTCTCTTATTTTACTATCATGATTAAATCTGATTGGACATATTAAGATTTTTATCCAAATATATATATATCACTAGAGACTTACCAACAATACTTTACATCTAGAATAAGAGAAAAGCAAAACGAGGTCCTTTTGATAATTTAATCAAGTGAAAATTTATTTATTTAATTTATTCAATTGTTCATTCATTTGCAGTAAATTAAGACTGAACTTAACAACAATAATAGAGGGAAACAAACAACAACAACAACATTGAAATGATAATAAGAAAGGTATAATTGAAAAGAATTCCTGGACATATTTTATTATCATGAGTTGAGTTGATTTATTGAAAGATTTTATTAAATGTTCAGACATTGATAAATAAATAAACACACTTTAATTCAAAGAAATAATATAGACAATGAATAGAATAATCATAATGTAAACTAGATATAATTCGTATATTATTAAATCTTGATTCAATGAAGATGTTTTAGAAAATACATTCTTCATTTAATATCTATTAATTAGTGATTATCATTTATTAGAAACCATAATCATTCACATTAATGCTTATATTCTTTCTACTTCTACCATTATGGGATTTGAATGGACAACTGCGTCTCTGTGCTAATGTGGTATGGCAACTCGAACTGATGTACGTACGTACGAGGTTCTATATTGTGACTGACTGACTGATTACTTCGATGTTCTAGCTTTTATGTTGTTCTCCTAATAATTGAATTAATTAACTGTTTATAATTACATATTTCGATATTTTCGTAATGAATTAAGATTAAGTAGGGTGAACTATTAAAACAACACCGAACAGTTTATTTTTTGGTCTTAGTTTAAAAATCTCTGACTTATGTAATTTAAACTGAACATTGTGAAACCGCAATGAGTTTATCATAACTGTGATTTTTTTTAGTACAAATATCAAAGTATGTTGTTTAGTAAATGTGTACGTGTCAATTTTTAACTCCTTAAGATTACATTTTGAAGTGAATAATTAAATTCAACACAGAGATATAATAAACAATACTTTTCAAATAAAAGCTAAGT